ATCGCCACTGGTTGTCTTTACTGAGATTTTTTATTTATGTATTCGGAAATCCACATGGCACCGTTGTGTTTAAACACAATTGTGGGACTTTTTGACCACTTTACCTATTACACATATTAATTCGACATTTCTGCAGTTGTATTTATTCTGCCTCAAAAGATCCAAGGTTATTAAACAAATCTTAGATTACACTGGTCTACAATTGTTTTGACGTCATCTGCTTCAGACATTAAATGTGCTGTTTATTGTGGATTTTGAGGTGCTGAATTCAAATATGACAATTTAATACAACTGATTGGCTACTTTTCCCAAGATATTTAAGTGTTTACATTTTACGTCTATGTATATTGCATAGATAGTAGAGTTTTACTCATAAATTGTAAACCTAGGTCTTTTCATGTGTTTATGGTTGCTTTACATGATAACAAGTCACCTGTTCTGTTCATGTAATACTTTAAACATCAGCGAAAGGGTTATATGACTAAAATGTATTATGAAACGAAACGCTAAAAACTTATGCATATATAAATACATAGTTTAGTCCTTATTCAGTGTTTACTCGGCGCTTCTTGGCTTGTCTCTTGTATTCATTAAATGGAGTATCTCTTGTCACTCTCCAGCAATTGTCTGCAAGCATTGATGGGCTCTATTTGCCCTGAGAGCATTTCTCCATTGTTGCAATGTCCTGGTGAAATCGCTCGCCATGCTTGTCACTCACTCCTTCGCAGTTTGGTGGGAAAAAATCTAGAGGAGAGTGCAAAAAATGTATATTTATTGACATGTTGCAACCAAGGCTTTTGTATGCCTTGAGGTTTTTCACCAACTCCCTGTAGTGTCCTGCCTTTATGTTTCTGAAAAAATTTGTTGCCACTAACTGTGGAAGGCTTTCCATGTCGTCTTTTCTTTGCCACGCAGTGCACCGTCCAATGCATCCTCTCGAAGAAGTTCACGAATCTGAGGACCAACAAAGACACCTTTCTTTATCTTAGCTTCACTTTACCTTGGAAATTGTCCATGGAGGTACTTGAAAGCTGCTTGTGTTTTGTCCATGGCTTTGACAAAGTTCTTCACTAGACCAAGCTTGTTGTGTAGGGGTGGTAACAAAATCTTCCTTTATTCAACAAGTGGTGGATGCTGAACACTTCTCATCCCAGGCTCCAATGACTGTCGGAGTGGCCAATCTATCTTGATGTAGTGAGAATCTCTCGTACTTTGTGTATCCAGTCTGCAGATCAAGCAAGAGAGCAACAACCTTAAAATTGCCGCAAAGCTGCCACTGATGTTGGTCATAGTTTATACACCTCAAAAGTAGTTTCATGTTGTCATAGGTTTCTTTCATATGGACCGCATAACCAACTGGAATTGATGGCAAAACATTTACATTATGCAGCAAAACAGCTTTAAAACTCATCTTCGATGAACCAATGTACAGTCTCCACTCATCTGGATCATGAACGATGTTGAGGGCTGCCATCAGACCATCGATGTTGTTGCAGGCTACAAGATCACCTTCCATGAAGAAGAATGGGACAAGATCCTTTTGATGTCACGGAATATGGAAACCCAAACATCACCTGCCAGGAGATTCCACTGCAACAGTCTGGAGCCCAACAGCTCTGCCTTACTCTTGAGTAGTTTCAAATCCCTAACAAGGTCTTTCAGTTCACCTTGTGTAATGAGGAGTGGTTCAGAGGAAGACGATGGGAGAAAATCTGGATCACGTGACCTTGATGGTTCAGGACCATAAGTTTTATCCTCTTCCTCGTATGACTCAAGTGAGAATGATTCTATTCTAGATTTGAAGCTTTCGTGACTGCAAGGATTCATATTCTTAAGTTTTTTCGGTAAAGTCACGTAGGTAAAAACATCAAAATTAATGAAAATAAAATAAAATAAAACAAAAAATCACGACGTTTCGGAGGCAGGAACCAGCAGTCCTTCTCCGTGGGGTACTGGGCATATAGCTGATGGAATGTTTGGATAATGGACAGTCCACTTGGTATTCTTTGACACGCCTTTCCCAACTAGAGGCGCCATGCAGAAGTAACAATTGCTGATATGGTCTGTTGGCTCTCTCCAAATCAATGGCACTACAAAAGGCATATATTTCCTTTTCCTGTTCAACCACTGGCGAAGATTTGTTGCACAAGTGTTGCAGCATATGTATGGGGCCAACATCTTATCCTGATTTCGAATTTTGCAGCCAAAATAGAGGTGATAGGCTTTCTTAACCATAGTGCTTATACTGCGCTTTTGTGATGCAAAAGTCACTTCACCACAAACATAGCAGAAGTTATCTGCTTTGCGCACACAAGTACGAGGCATCTCTGCTCACTTTGGCTAAACAGAAATGTGTCCCTTTGCAAAATCAAACACTGACAAATAAGAGAGCACGACACTGCATGATTTCTCGAGCTGATGTAGGGCAATTTGTTCAGCAGAGGGATGTAAGCCTAGTTATGATTACATCATCCATGACTTCGAGGAATAACATGATGCAATTCATGTCATGTACGACACAATACCAGGTTCAGATTGCATACTTCATTGTTTTGCTCAACAAGCAAGTACTGTCATATATGTTTTCATAGATCCAGTCAAATATGTATTTTAGTCATTTCTGGTTTAAATTGAGATCCCTTTATAACTCACTTATCCTCAGCCATTCCCAAGTCAATGGTCGTATATACTGACCCAGTAGCATATCTTGAAAACTAGAGCCAATCAAATATTTTAAGCATAATTTTCATTCTCAGTGACCCAGAATTAGTCAAGTTGCACTTCATTTATTTTCGGAAACATTTTGGCCGTAATTACCCATTGTACATCAAGCAGTTTATGATTTTACAATTTAGTTATAGCTGTTTTTGGTCCCAACACATCATGGAAGGGTCTTACCTACAACATATCATATTTCTCATGGGACTTTCAGAAGTTTATGTTGATCCATTGGGCTCCTTGTGTAACCCAATGCTAATGAGATGCATTCATTTGCTGGATTCGATTTTGTTCGAACTGTTTGCATTTTCCAAATAAACCTATTTTCTGTGTTATATACAGTTTTGGCACTTGGATAAAATAATGTTAACAAAGTAGCCCATGTCAAGAGTAAATTCGCATATGTTCAGCTTATTAGGTTGTGCACAATTTACATTGACATGGCAGACCTGCAGAGAAAGATTGATAGTGTCGTCTTTGTGTTCATTTTTTAGTAAACTCTTTAAGAGCTTGCGTTGAAGTCAGGTTAAGGTTCAAGCTCAGGCATTTTTACAAATGTTGTCAGTCCTCTGTTACAGCATGCGCACTATTTCACATGAACACATCAGGGAGTGAAAGAAGAAAGACTGGCCTTCATTCATGGGCCTTTTTGAAGTGTCCATTCAGTTTCCTGAATAAACTGAAAACCGTTCTACGGGGGTTTTTGTTGCTATTAAAGCTCAATGTTTCACCTAAATGTTTTTTTCGTCAGTACACCTTCGTGTATCCCTCAAATATTTACAAAGTTCAAATGTTAGCTTGCAAAGGAAATAATATGGCATATCATGTGTATATTTTTCCATAAGACATTTACAAGGAAGATTGCAGAAAAATCTATGAAATGTTTTTCAAATGAATAGACAAGAAAGTGACTGAATTAATCATATTTTTTGTAATTCAAATGTTAGGTCACAAATTCTGGTTTGCACATCATTGCATTGACCCCATTTTAATTTTATTAACACTCCCAATACATTTAAGAACCAAAAATGATTGTGCACTTGGCCTACAGCACCCGGCAAGCCCTGGTAGCCAGCCCATTTCAATACGAAGCGGCCTCAGTCCTGCTTAGCATCCAGAAGCGGGCATTTTAAGGGTGTTTGGATATCAGTAAAGCCCCCAAACAACCTGCTAATGGAATACATATCTCGGTCTTTGTCTCGCAAACCCCCGGTGTCATTATGTACATTATGACATAAATGCAGTCCTCCACCACCTCATGGTCGCTGCCTACTTAGCACGTGTAAAGCCAGGGGTCCATTGAAAAATTGTTCACCTCCCCTCCCACCCCGCTGTGCAATGGTGCTTGTCATAATAGCCTCGGATGTGTCGAGCATTGATGCCCTCCTCAGTGTGTGACCTTTAATTCTGATACACCCACTCTGTAATTGAACATGTCCGACTTTCGTGATGTCATACTAAAAATGCATTGAACCTTCAACTTTTTACAATGCAATTTCCAGGCCAGTATTTTATTGCAATGTTGTCTATTTATTTGAGTTGTGATTGTTTTCGTACCTATTTATTTCATCGATGAACCTTTTCAGATTTTGTTGTGTTTTATAATTGCATTGCTTGTTTCACTACACTCAAATATTTTCTTACAGTATGTTGTTTTGTACACTAGCTTCCCATGGCAAAAAGCTGCAGTGTGAACTGATAATTATAATTGTCCATCTTACATTCAAATGTATTTTTAGAACATGTATTCCAAAAACGTTATAGTTATATTATTATTTGCAATGGTCAATACTGCTACAAATTAGGTACGAACTGTTTGCAAAGGCATTGTGCCTATGCCATTATGGTTAACTTTTCTCATAAATGTCATCACTGACCCCCAGTTATCTGCTTGCTGCAGCTCTCTCAATTCCCATTACTTCTCAACAACTGCAGTGCAATGCTACACAGTTCTTTCAAATAGTCCGATGCCTATTGTGATTCTATTATGTCTTTTGACATTATTTTCTGAACTACCATTCCCTAACTATCTCCATGTGTAATTTGTATCCATTTTAATATATTTTTTCTGCTTCGGACCCGATGATTTACTTTACGAAGTACATGCCCCCCGCCCCATTCATCATACATTATGAGCCAAGTGTGAAAACTTGTCAAACTACATTTGATGCATTGCCATGCGCGCCTGTACACGTTAGTTGGCAAGTTTCTTGTGTTATTTTCCAGTAACAATGTGTTCGACGTGTGTGTTGACTTACACACGTGTGTGCCGCTTGTTTTAGGTTTTCCTATGCCATTGTAGGGATTAACATCACGGAGCTCGCCTACACTCTGCTGTTCGCTGGCGCAATGAAAAGCCACTTCTACAACATCATTCCGGCTGCACCTCGGCTCGTCCACTTCCACCAGGCCTTCTGTAAGGATGCAGACCATTTTTGCTGAGTGGTTCACAATGTACACACAGGCAGTCTCCGCTTTTACGACACAATGCCCTTCCAAGGAACGCCGTCGGCGGAAATAGGATTGTCAGAAATCGGACCCCGTTTTCCCATAGGCAGTAGTAACAGTACTTACTGATGTGTTTTTACTTTTATCAGCCGTATTTCACAGGGTTTAATCGCCTGTCCTGTAGTGGCCTTACCTCGGGCTTGAATATCTGTACCGCCCTCTCTCCCCATGTCGCTCATGCTTTGTACGGGGTTCTTGTATAAAAAAAATAGAAATAAAAAATAAAGCATGGTTTCATCTTCTTGGTTCTTTCGGTAAAGTCACGTAGAAGGGAAGTAATAAAAGAATAAAAATAAAACATAATAAAATAATTCTCACGACGTTTCGGCCACAACGCAAGCAGCCGTCCTCAGGTGAAGACCAGGTCTGTCGGGGAGACAGCGTCTGAATGAAACACCACCACGCTTGGAGCATATATTTTAGCTGGGTTGGAAGGGGGGAAGGGCGCCTTGACAAAAGAATGTGCATATCAAGAGGAATTTAGCATATTTATGGGAAATGCAGGTATGTGATTAGTACTACTTGTGAAATGTGTAGGAGGTGGGCGATCTAACCCAAAAAACCTCTTATGGATGATATTGGTTGTGAAAGCCTACGTGTTAAACCAAAAAACGTTCACTATGGTTAGAGTGTCACTGGATCTCAAGACTCCTGAGTTCAGAACGATTTATTAAGCATATTTTATCAAACTGTAAATAACTTGCACTCGTGGCCGTAACATAACAGTTGAATTCTCACGGAAGTCCATTACGTACAATCGGTACTATATCTTGGAAATATATTGCAGTGTTTTGTAACAACGACGACTGCACCAAATGTAAGCATTTTCTCTCGTACGTAGGCTGTGAAAAATATTGTTGGGAGAGAGCTGCTCAACACAAGTTCCTTAGGCACTCATGGCAACAGTAGGCACCCATGGCTGTGATGTATTGATCAGTCTTGATGATGAGACCAGTTTACGGTCTTGTTGTTTTTCTGCTGCCTAAAAAAAAACCCACAAATATTTACTATTTTGAGCTGGTGGCTATCAAGCCTCTGCAGAATGTGTGCGGCAACGGTAGGTAACCTGTCGTGCAAAGCATGCGGGGATCTCTGTTAAGTTTTGCTGCTTGCCACCTTCATATGTCATTTGATAGACGAGTCCAGTTCATTTTATCCAGAATTGACGTGTAAGCACATTGCACTTTTTCACAGGATCACATTGTTCTGCACTCGCATGCATGAACTTCAGGCACTCTGGTTGCCTTTTCACATGCAGTAAACACAATAAATGACGCTTCAGCCGCAATAAAACATTGGCCATACATTCCAACTCGGACCCTCCAGAAAATAACCTTGAGACGCCATGAGGATTGTTTGGATAAACAAGTATATTCACATTCTTAGGTGTTTTCGGTAAAGTCACGTAGGTAAAACATTAAAATTAATAAAAGTAAAATAAAATAAAAATCACGACGTTTCGGAGGCAACACAAGTCTGTCATCAGGTGGAACCGTCACAGCCAGATTTGCTGCATCAAGTGAGGCAATGATTCAAGATGTAATCCCTTAAAAGCAAGTTGAGGGGGGGGGAGCTCATCAGAATGTGGTAGCCAATGAATGGAAGTATATTCACGTTTTCTTTTATTCCTACAATAGTTGCAATCGCTTACAATATTCTCATAAGTCTTGCTTAAAATTATTCAAGCGAGCATCACTGCAAAATTGTCAACAATGAATCTGCACCATTTATATTTTTCATCTTCCATTGCAACTTGACCGTGACTGGTCCTGCAATTGTCCCGTGTGCTCGCAGGCTACTTGTTTCACGAATTTGACGCTTTCTGGCTGAAGGAAGAGCCTCGAGACATCATGGAGTTCAACCGCGTGCGGGAGTTGTTCCGGCAGCAAGTTCAGGATCAGCTGTCGAGTGACGAGGCGGTGCTTGTGCCCCGCTTTGACAGCACGCCGGCGAGCGTGCCCACGTGAGCTTGTCACGCCACGTTCGCTCCTTGCCCACAGCTGCTCTTAGAGACTGGGGTTGATGGTGCGCCTCGGGATGGGGAGCACTGGTTAGCTGTGATGCAATGTTGGGTGGTTGAATCTATTTTTTTTTGAAGATCTGAATTGTTTGATTGGCGTGTCTCATCATATTTGTGTGTTGTCCGTAGATTTCCTCACACTTCCAATATAACAAAAATAAAATATTCTAAAATAATGTATAGCCAACAGGTAGAAATTCCCAATACATCTTAAAATATGGGCATAGTTGAGATAAAAAAACACCATACAATGTAACTGCTATTGGCCAAACATCCCAATGCTGAAAAATGACCTTAAAATTACTCATTTGGGATTACACTCAGCAGTAGCATCGCCCCTAACTGACAACAATTGACAGGACCCTCCTGAGAAAGAGTGTCAAAATTCAGTTAGGCTTTCCTGGTTAAACAAGCAGAATAATAAACGATACATTTGATTTGACAGAAATGTGCTTACTGGGTGGGAAGTCCATCTAATCATGTCTTAAGAGATATTATGATTCCAAGGTGCAGTGCATTTTGTTTCTTCATTGTACAATCCATGTTCAAATAGAAAAAAAAAATATTTTAAAATATATTAGGCGAGTCTTGTGTCCCCTGATATTTTCACATTACATAATTCGTATAAAAACATCTCAATGCCCTCATTGTTCTCATTCTGTTAGAGCCTTTCACATGCTTATATGTCTGTCTGCAACTGAGTTTTGCAATGGGAAATGCTACTCTTTCAGTTATGAGCAAAGGTTTCTCCGCATGTTTGTGAATAGATATTTGTATGGATGTACACATTTGTGTTTTTATGGTATGTATTTGACGCAAGCATAGAGTGCTTCTGATTGGTCCACAGATAATATAATGCTGCTTTGTTTGATTTTGAGTGCTGTCCAAGGTATTGTAGGAAATATAAATCAAGCAAGTAGGTCAGTTGGAAGATCACCCATCACAATTGTGCACATCACCACGTGTACCCAGTGAGTACACCTACCTACACGTCGGTACAAATCAACACACGGTACAACTCAATGTTTTTGTATAACGTCAAATTTCATATCTCTGAATGGACCGTCCTTTCAGATTATTTTGCTGACTTGCTGCTTGTTTGCATGGCAGTTGTGTAAGAAGTGTTCATCAAACACCCAAGTCACTATTTGCACACACAAATAATGGGCTGAAGTTCTCCGATGTGTTTCATTATTGAACAACCAAGCACTGGAGTGTGTGTTCTCCAACGGATTGAGAGACAACTTCACCAATCAATAGTAATGGATTAAGATAATTAAAATATGCAGCTGTTGTATCTAAAGTAAAATGTTGACAGCCTTGAAAAGCACACCGACAAAATGCGTGCCCCTGTTTCTACTTTGAGATTTTCTTTGCCGTGTCTAATGTTTAATGCAGTGAAATGTGTAATTTATTGTTTTCATGTTTCCATTTTGTCACGTTATGGTTACGCATAATACATTTATTCGGTACACATTTATTTTAATAAAGTGTCTTTTGTGCCGACTGAGAAAATTTTATTTTGCGAACCTTAAATTTGTGTATTGTTGCGAAAAAAAAGACTTAAATATATTACATATTCTGTACTCTCTGCTATGCTATTGTAATGTTTTAAATCAACACCTGTCATTTTCCATTAGTCGTGACATGGTGTCTACACCAGGATTAATGTAACTAGTAAGGCATATAAAATTGTGAAAGCAGATAACACCTGGGTCTGCTGTGACCTCTTTATTCAATTAAAGCTTAGATACATTGTAATTATATCCACAATGCCTCCATTTCTATATTGATGTATGCAACGAGTTGAGGCAAAAACAGATCCGTTGCTGTGTAACATCACCCATCCATCACAATGTCCCTGCAGGCAGCACAAGCTCAGACTTTTTGATGATTTGTCGAGCTTGGTTCTCCCGATGATTTAGTTCATCCATTCCAGTATGATCAATTATCGGCTTCACCACTCGACTAATCAGATAACACAATATTTTAGAAGAACAGTCACCTCTGTTCCCATATGTGATGTGGGATGGGAGGTGATGGGCAGGGCTTGGTGACATCATCGGCATAAACTGCGTCACGTTGGGCATGGCTTGTAGGGGGTTTCCCGCCTTAGTGGCTGGGTGACTGCCTTTTTAAATTGGGCCCCCAGTAATCGAGCACAAAAAAAATTATAAACGATACTCGGCTATAATTATTTTGTTCTTAAACTCTTCTTATGCTGAGATGGTATTTATGCTGTGCAATTGAAATGTTGGCAGCCTGCTTAGGTGCTCTTACCAGCAGTGCCCTGTTTTAGCCATAGATATGACTTGCGGAAAGGCATAATAAAGCTTCATGCAGAGTGACAAGGCAGGCGACTTCCAATCAGCAACACACAAGCGATAACAATGCTTTCACCTGTCAAATGCAGAGAGGCTTCTGCTTAACAGCTCTTGCCCATGAGTCACCCTGTCAAAGTACAAATTACCTGCCTAACAACTGCTGTGTCGCTCATGGAAGTTTGGAAGGTGTGGTGGTGCATTAGTGGATGCTTGCGTTGAGGCAACTGATGGGGAACTCGTTTTTGAGGTGCGGGCCTAATTTGCCCAAAGTTCGTATATTTAGAAATTGTTTTTCACCTCCGTAATAGTCCCTGGACGTTCGTTTTAAAACCCCTTAATGAACAAAGGAACGGAATGGATGTGGCATTGTTATTACAGGTTACAGTATTACAGTATCAATATTGATGAGTAAGTTAACATTGATTGAATTGCGTGTGTTAGCAAAGTGTTGCAATTTGTATACGTTGTATGTAATGGATTCGTATGACTTTTGCAGCAACTATCGACCACTATAGTAGCCAATTTTTAAAAAGAAGATTGTTATTGAAATCACAATCCTGAATTAATATAGGGGGCAGAGTGTGGATTGTTACATCTATGTTGGTTATATTATTTATCAAACAACTTGAGCTTAAAATCAGCATTTTGTGCCTGTGTTATATAATGATCGTTGGTAATATTTTAAGCATTCAGTAGTTGTAAACGTTTCCTGGGTAAAATTTTCCATTAAAATTATGATTGTCAACTCAACCAAGCAAAAATAATCCAAAATTGCCTTTTTTCAGTGAAATAAATTGTTGCAATCCGACAGTTAATTTCGTAATAGCTGCAGAGAAAATACATTTAAAATTACTTTAGGCATTCGAAACTTAATATTGTATGTGTCCTTTGCTTAATGTAATGTTTGGGTCCTACTGAGTTTGTGGACGGCTCTTCCCTGGAATATAAAACCATACTGTGGCGTTCATTTAGCAGGCCATGTACTCTGCCGATGAGCGTTAGTGAAGTTGAAACTGGTCTCGGGCCTTGTCATGTTTTAAATATTCTACTAAAAATCATTGGTCTGAAAGGACTCATGATGAATTAAACTAAAATGTTGGACAACCGCAGAGGTGGAGTGATGAGTTAATAATGACAGCGTTTATAGTGTCACAGCATGGCCAGCCATTCCAAGGACACGTGCTGGAGTGAGATGGGTTGTGACATGGCAGGGCTGACAGTTGATTAGTGCGGAGAGGCCTTTAACCAACAGTGAGAAGTCAATGTCTAATAATGGTGATATTATTTTTTCTCACTTAAAAAAATTTGTGGTAAAGATCAGGTGCACGATTCAAGAATCTGCCAAAATGTGGTTGCGTGAAAAGTTTTGCCGGTGGAGATTTTTAACCCTTTCCCATTTTGTGACATCTGTAAGTTGCAGGGTGGGTCCTGTTCACAGCTGAATCTCGGAACACGCAAGCGGTTCAGCGTTAATTTATTTGGAGCAGCACAGTGCTGCTTTTTTAAAAGACATTGTACGCACCACAGAGAACTATAGCGGCATGACCACACTATGATAGCTGGCGCCAAACTGCCAGACACCCTCCCGCATGGCCTTTTACTTCCGATTAAATTCTGATGACGAATGTGTACGTCAAACTGATGACGTACACGTACGTCATCGGAATGGGAAAGGGTAATGCACGGATCCTCCAATGAGACTCGACCAATCAGACTCTACTCCATCTGTATGCTTATGGAGCTGTTCCATGAAGACTGGTACTACTCAAGACGAGTTCCAGAGCCTGTTGACAATGCAAACCCGATGAGCTCAGTGAAAAAGTGCTTCCACACTTTGTGGAAAATGTGGTTTGTAAATTTGAGGATACAGGGTTGCTGCCGTGGTGTAATGGTTAGCACACTGGACTTGTGATGCAGAAGTCGCCAGTCTGATCTGGCAGTTGAAAACATGGGGCACGTTTCTTGAATCCTCCCAATGCTGTCCGCTCATCAGTATAAACGGGTACACCACAGTTGATCGGTAGGTCATGGGTGGTGGGGTGAAGTGTTGGTACTCCCAACTTGGTGACGAGATGTTAACTTCCTCGCCTGGTATACAGGAGATTGTGGGATCGATCCCAGCCCTAACGCCAGTGTAGTTGGAGTTTGCATGTTCTCCCCGTGGTCGTGTGGATTTTTCTCTGGGTTCTCCGGTTTTCCCTCCACATTGAGAAACATGCTTTTGGAGCGTTTTAGAGTATTTGGCTGTTATACATTTTCACATAATCATCTCATTGAGCTATTATTTGTGGCCACGTCGTTTTTTTAAAAGAGCTATATAGCTCACTGGTACTTCCCTGTTAAAAAAAAGTTTTTAGTTTGGTTTTAACTCTTCCAAGATGTCTGGCCAGTGTGTAAAAGTAGGCCAACATACTCAAGTGGAGCTCTCTAGATCCCCCTCGATTGAAGGCTCAGCTGTGGTGCGAGCAAGCGATCGTAGGGCTGTTAACTTTGCTTTACGATTAAATTGATGGGCACGGGTTAGCTGGACGATCCCGCTGTAATTTTAGCAACCGTGCCCGTACGAGTCATTCCGCTTGCTGCACTTGTTTGCCTTGACTTCTGTCATAGCCTTGCCCGTACTGGCACGTTCTTATGTGTACACTGAGGCCCAGTGGAAATCCCTGCGCAAGTGGAGAAGATTTAGACAAAACTTTCGTGACTGCAGGAATTCATATTTTTGGTTCTTTCGGTAAAGTCACGTAGCTAGCAAACAAAAATCTAAATTAAAAGCAAAAAAAACCCATGATGTTTCGATCGCGACACAAGTGGTCTTCTTCAGGTGGAGAGAAACGAGGGGTTAAGCCTCCAAATGTAGCTGCTTATAAGGGCTCCTGAGTGGGCGGGGGAAATGGGCTTGCGCGAGAGAAAGGGGGAGAGAGAGAGGGGGTGGGGCAGAGATGGGGTTGTCGAGATGGGAGGAGGGAGGAATTGCGAGCAGACATTGTGGGGGGGAGGAATGGGGATAAAAGAGCTGCGAGAGAGACAACGGGAGATGGAGGGGGTGAGGCAGAGATAGGGTGGGGGGTAGAGATGGGAGGAGGAGGAATTGCACCTCGGTACACCCATCAGAAAATGGGGGGGGGGGGAGAGAGGGTGTGGGGCAGAGACGGGGAGAGAGGGTGTGGAGCAGAGATAGGGGGGAGGGGGAGAGATGGGAGGAGGAGGAATTGCACCTCGGTACACTGATCAGACAATGGGGCGGGGGAGGAATTGTGATACACAACTCCAGAGTGAGTGGGCGGAGGAAAGTGCTGCGCGAGCAGTTAATGTCTCGGACCGTGTTCGTAAACACAAGGTAGATCATTACTTTAATGCGGCTGGCTCACATGAAATTGATTTGTCTAAGACGATGGTACTTTGCAAGCCGAATGGCTATCAACAAATATTCGTTCACGAAGCCATCCATATATACAGACATAAACACAATTTCAACCGAGACGACGGTTTTAAACTCAGCAATCATTGGAAAGATGTCATCAACCACTTTGGGTCATGATTTGAATTTGTGATTCCTTGTCAACCTCTACCTTCAGAAGTGTGGATGGGCGAAGCGAGGTGCAATTCCCCCCCCCCTTCCATCTTTACCCCTCCTATCTCTGCTCCACCCCCTCTCTCTCCCCCTGTCTCTCGCGCAGCCCATTTCCCGAGCCTACTCTGGAGCCCTAATAAGCAGCTACATTTGCAGGCTTGCCCCCTCTTTTCTTTCCACCTGAAGAACGCTTGTGTTGCTATCGAAACGTCGTGGGTTTTTTGATTTTTGTTTTCTATCTACGTGACTTTACCGAAAGATCCAAGAATATGAATTCCTGCAATCACGAAAGTTTTAAGTCTATATTTAACCGCCTCTACGGGGAGGGTTTCCACGTAACCATAAGATAGATCTTTTAACAAACTCCGAGACAAGAAAGCTCACCTGATCGAGTCACTCACATTTCTAAAGAGTTGCCGCGACAAGGTAATACCGACTTCATTCACACTGACCTCTGCTGCTGTCACATCTTCCAATGCCAAGCGAATTTTGTTTAGAGCTAGCTTGGCCCTTATCTCTGAGATAATTAGACTGCTCTACACTGAAGTGGATCATGCAGACAAGACACTCTTGAATTTACACTTAACATTGACACAAAAAATGTCTACATCTGATTGGGA